GGTCCCTCCCCCGCGCAGCCCCCGCCATCGGCGGGGCTCGGGATGCGGAGCGCCGGTACCGGGGGACGGGAGCCGGCAGCCAATGGGCGCCACGCACGGAAACACCGGCAGGAGAAGGAGGGGATGGAGGGGATGGACGGCAGGGCAGGAGAACAAAGATGAGCGGGGGGAGATACCGGCTCGGAGAATAGAAGCGGGAGAGGGAGGCGCAAGGAGATGGGCAGAGGGATAAGGGGAGAGCAGAAGAGGGGAGGATGAAGGAATGAGGAGTGAGGTAAAAGAAGCTGAAGACAGCGGAGGGAAGAGGAAGAAGAGAGGGATGCAGAGAGCAGCTATGTGGTGAGAGAGTGGCTTGCAGGAGGGGGCGACTTGGCTCGGCTCTCCTAGCCTGGGTCTAAAATCCAGACCTACTTGGGCAACTTTATGTGCAGCCGGTGCTGCTGAAAGGAGAGCCGATGAAGGCATTACAGGACTTCAAAGCTGTCAGGCCTCTTTAGGCTAGAACTTGGCCACAATGCTGTCTGGAGACACAGAAGAGAGAGGAGTCCTCATTGGGGAAGGATTGGCATGGGTAGCACCCAGAGGTTTTCTTCACCAGGGCAGGCATCTGGAGCACCCTGCAAGAGCCCCCAAGCTCCTTTGTTAGAGGAAACAGAGCCATGTAACTGCACAGCTCCACACAGCCCTGCTAACCCTTGCAGGACTTGTTAGCATAAGCACAATCATAGGATCATAAATTCCAGGTCTCCAGGTCACTTCCTCAGTGCTCTGAGTTGTGTCCCATTCTACAGTGGGGGGCTATGCAAACTGCTTAAATTGTGTTGGGATGAGAGCTCAGCCTGTGCACCTCCACAGGTAGGTAGATACATGAATTTTGTTTCACACATATCTTATGCATTGCTGTACTTGATAGGGGATGGGGCAGACTGAAAAAGTAAAAGCCAAGGCTTGAAAACTGGAGAGAAGTAATAAATCACTGGGAATATATTGCGTTGAGTCATGCTTAAGATGCTTAAGAGAGGTCAGACCCCATTTTCAAGTACTTCGTGTCCCTTGCCTTTTCACAGGGATATGCCCATACCACAGGTTTCATTTTTACTCTTCTGGAGTTACACTGACATCATTTACATTACCTTTGGATGGGCCTGGGCAATTCATCCAGCAGCCCATGTGCAGTGCAGATATTTGCAGAACACCCTGCCACAGGGTGCCTGCCAGGGTTGCTGTGAACTTTTTCAGTAGGTAATGTGTCACATCACTGAATTAAGTGCCTTATTCATACCTGACCATGAACTGAAATTGCAGAAATTTCCCTGGCAGCAGGGTACCTCGGGAGCTTCACTGTGTCTGGTTGTACCTGGCATCACCAATGCACCTCCTCAGTGCGGGAAGCAGCCTTGGAAGCTCAGAAGTGTTGCTGCATCTGGGAGCAGTAATCTGGCTCAACTCCATCGTTTCTCTGTGCCCTCCTAGGACTGCAGGATTTTGCAGTGCCAATCATCACACCCTGAGCCCTCCTCTCTCCTGCAAGTAGTGGCAGTAGCAGCCACCCTGTAACACTTACGCTCAAGTCCCTGCAGTGCATCAGGAGCACAGGTGCTCACAGCTGCCAGATCCATAGTACCGCTGGGACCGCTCTCCTCAGCTTAATTTTAGTGTCTTGGAGGCAATTTGTCTGGACTGGTGACTCATTCCTCCCTCTTTAATTTTTTTTCCCTGCCCTCCCCCTTCCTATTCTCACTCTGCCTGCGTCTGATAATGTGAGAGTGCCAGAGCTTAGAAGGATTAATGCACCAATGTTTTGGTGAAAAGATGTCCCCAGCAACCTGCGGGGCAGTCCCCACAGAAAGAAGTCTGCGTTCAGGTGTCCCCTCCCAAAACCTGCATCCCATCCATCTGTGTGGCACAGAGGGGAGACAACTTTTCAGCTGAGAACTTAGAAGCTTGGAGGATGAACCAGGCCTGGTGTCATCAAACTACAGCAACTGGGGCTCACCAGGCTTCGTGTGGTGCTGCCTGGTTGTCGCTGCTGAAGGAGGGGCAGAGCAGGGAGGGCCCTCCATCCCAGCTGTCCCACTGCTCACAGCCGCAGGGCTGTGTCCCCCTGAGGTGCAACACATCACTGACACGACAAGAATGTACAGTTTATTGGGTCTCATTCTCTACATTGTAACCCCAGGGGCCCGCAAGGAAGGGAAGGGGCAGGTGGGCGGGTGAGGCGAGAGCAGGGACGTTGTGTGAACAGACAAACCGGTGCTACAGACCCACAGCAGTCTTTCAAGTTCGCAGAAGTAAAAAGCAATGACCGCTCCAATTAGCTCCAGGCTGCTGGACCCATCACTCTCCTGTGTGCTGGGGAGCTGCTGGCATCAGGATGAGTCTGGGATCTATGGCCAAAAACATGACAGACCTCATAATACCAGCTCAACTATTTTCCTGCTCTCCCTCCCTCTGCCCTGGTGATGGTGGGTGTATGAAAAGACAGGGTCCAAACTAGCAGGCTCTCACTTTTCTCTTTCATCATTGCGGTGGGTTTAGCTCTGACCAGCTTTGACTCTTGTCCTGAAACATCCCTCCTCCCTCTGCTGCTTTGCACAGAAGTGGAGGCAGGTAGAGACAATATGAGGAGTAAAGGAGTCAGGAGAAGCTGCCACTGGCCAAGGAACATCACAGAAAACCCTTCAGGTGAGCTTGGTAAGAGGTAGGGCCACTGGCAATTGCCATGAATAAGGAACAGTGTTTTCTTTTCCTATTTTTTTTTCTATAGGCAAAGGCTGTGGCTTCACAGGTCTCAGAGCAGGTCATCCCCAGAGCAGCCTGCATGTAGTTCCCTCTGTGACAGAAGCTGACAGTTCTTCTCTGTGAGGGCACATGTGGAAAATCCTAGGCTGCCCTAGATGGGAACAAACCCACAGTGAAGCAGAAAGGAGGGGGAAGTTGATCCTGGGTGCATCATCCCATGTCCTGTCCTTTCCCTAAGCAGGACTGGCTGTCTCCCTCTCTCTCTTTGAAGGTGACAGCATTCCACAGCCTCACCAGGAACAGAGTGGCCCACTCTGGGCCAGGAAAGCACCACTGATGCCACTCCTGGGGATCCCTGTCAGACTTACGTGCTTAGAGGAGGCTGCATGCCCGTTTCTTTGTCCGGGTGGGCTGTGGGCACAGCACTGCTCGGATGGCCTCGTCAAACACCGTCTTGAGCCCGCGCTGCGTCAAAGCCGAGCACTCGAGGTATTTCACAGAGTCTGTGGGGAGGAAGGGAGGTGGGGGCAGGCACTGGGGATACCCAGGTTTCTGCTCCTTATGCTAGAAAGCACAGCACCTGGCTCTTGCCCAAGCTGAATAAACACATCTCAGGTGATCAAAGACATTACACATTGTCAGGACACATTTCACTCACTCAGACAGTCTTGACTTCAGGGCAAAGCTTGCCAGATGCACTAGACCTGGATTTGTCTATTGGCCACCCATGTAGCCAGAACAGAGCCATTGTGTGTCTGACCATGTCATCCTGGCCAGACACTCTCTCTCTGCTGAACTCCTTCTAGCTGTGTTTCTCATTCTCTCTCGTTCTGTGTGGCACATCTGAGAAGAGCTGGATGGTGGGTTGAGACACCCATACCTGGGATTGCACGTATAAGCCCCAGCAGACACAGGCAGGGACAGGAAACTGCAGTTACAACTCTTTCTGAGAGAGGTTAAAAGCCTCTCCTCTGCCTCTCTCCGGATATGGAGGAGTGGCCTCTGCCCACAGTGCGGCTGTGGTTTGCACAGAAAAAATATTGTCCCAGACAGGATAAGCAGAGTAAAGCGGGGGGAGAGTGTGAAAATGTGTAGCTGTGTGTGTATGTGGAAGATGGTGGCCAGAGAGAGGCAGAAAACTGAGGGCTGAGGCGTTGAGTCTTCCTCAAGAAGCAGATCTCCTTCCTGAGTCTCCTGAAGTGCATTTTGTCCCATGACCCTGGATGTGTCTCCTTGTGTCCCTCAGAGATACCACTGTGAGATACTGCTATAAAAACCTCATTAAATTGAGGTGAAGCCCTTTTCTTCTGCCTTTCTCCTTTCAGTAGGTCCAAGATGATTCCCAAGCACGTACCTATTTCCTTGGCCAGAGCAAGACCCTGAGGATACGTTATGGGGGATAGCTTCTTCTCCTTCAGCTTCTCAATGGTGTCCTTGTCATCACGGAGATCCAGCTTTGTGCCCACGAGGATGATGGGAGTGCTTGGGCAGTGGTGCCTCACCTCAGGGAACCACTAACAATGGAGAAAAATGCCAAAGATGTGAGGTCACACATGTGGGCATGCACATGGAAAAACAAAGAGGCACTCCTGAAAAAAATGTCAGCAAAGTAGCAAACAACCTGTCCTTTCTCACATCCATTGTTGGGCACTACAGCTTGGCCCAGGCCAGATCCTGTTGCTGGGTCCTCAGGCAAAATCCCTGACAGGGAGCTCAAATTTTGTTCCACAAAAGCACAAGCTGCCCTCTTCTTTTGACCCTCCTCCCACCCAGGAAAGAACCTTAATGTGGCAGGAGGGACATACTCTTGTTCTCCTATTCACCAATCTCTCCCTTCTTCCCTCCCTTCCCATCTAAAAGCTGTGGGTACCTGCTTCTTATACCCAATGGACCAGTCTGTGTCTGTGTGTCTGTGCTTTGACAGTCTTGGCTTAAAGATGCCATCAGAATACATGTCTGTGACCTGACAGCACAACAGGCCATCAGGATGAACGCTAGCCCATCAGTAGAGTTGGCCCCCTTTGAAATGAACCAGAAAAGGCATCTGAAGGAGGTTTCTGACTAACAGAAAAGAGATATGACATCTTGAAACTAGATGTCCCAGAGGTAGTCTCCACCCACAGTCGCTGTTCTTGCAAGACCACCACCAACACCACCCCTCCTCCCCTGGTGGACCAGGATACAGCCTCACCTTAGCACGGACGTTCTCGTAAGATGCTGGGCTGACAAGGGAGAAGCAGATCAGGAAGACATCCTGTAGGCATACAACCATGGTGCAGAGTTAGGATGGGAGCATGGGATGGCATAATGAAGCAGGAAGGAGAGGGGAAGGGAGGGGAGGGAAGGTCTGGGCACACTCATCCTCATGGGAAACGGCCTGACAGCTTCCTGCTCATTTCTCATGGAACACCAGAGAGCTTTCAGGCCAAAGCAATTCTGCCTACAGTTGAGACAGACTTAGTTTCAGCCTAAAAAGTATACACACAGGACTCAGAGGAGGCAGTATTTTTAGCTCTCCAGGTAAGCGACTCTTCTGGGCATGGTAGAATTCAGACTTCCTTTAAAACCAGAGCAAACCAAACCAAACCAAAACCATACAAGCTCATCAAGGTTATATTTATTTCATCCAGATTCACCTAGCTGGAGCAGTGGTGCCACACCCAGCCTATCCATTTCCATATTTCTGCAACCATCAGAGACAAAAACCTTGGAGAAACATTCCTCCACCTATTGAGGTATGTCCCAGAGTGTATGCAAGCATGTTGTTGAGAAAGAGACCTGCTTGCACTGACTGCAGGCAAAAACACTTTATACCAGGTGTCTGATTTTTTAGGTGTCTGAACCCAGCCCAAACAAACAATTTCTAATCAATTCCTAACCCCTTTGATTGCAATGGCAAACTTCAGACTAATGTCTGATGCAGCAAGGTCTTTCCGAGCTTGCCAAAAGACTGCTTGAAACAACATTCTCCAGAGAAGGTGATCCCTAAACCCTGAAATCACTCTGTCAGTGTGGTGAAAAGCTGGTGAACACAGTATCTGAGGCACACATTTTTTCTGCTAGAGGCACCAGCAGATCAAACACATGCCCACAAATCACATATCTTTTAAAAGGCAGAAGTCAGAAGAGTGGGGTCACAGAAATGTGAAAAAAGCTCCTGCCTCAGCTCTTAAATTCCATTAACCACTTTAACTTTACAAAGGGAAGGTTTTTTACAGGGCCGTGTAAGGCATCTGCCCCACACAAAGTCAGTGTCATCTGGGCTCAAGAGTGTCTTTGAATGTCTCATTTTCTAGCTCAGTTATACCAGTTATGGGAGTTTAGATAAAGGCTCAGAAATACCTGAAGATATCTTTCAACTTTTGGGTTTCAAGTCAGTTGAATATCAACAGAGATATTCTCAGAAAAGGGCAGAGTCACTGTTTCATGGCTCATGCTGAGTTTTGCAGTGAGGGATGGAGATGTAGGGGAGGGAG